ATTTTTTTGTGATTCCGCACTAAATTATCTTTTAAACTCGGTACTCCTCCATAAGTAATAATAGGTTTCTCTGGTAAAACTATACTTAATAGTGCATAATTCTTTAAAATAGGCCAATATTTCTTAAAAATTATTTTTTAATTGATAACTTTGGCAGTTAAAATCACATATAAAATACTATTTTCGTCCTTAGTATTGATTTGATTTTTATACTCTAGTAGTGTGTTGCGGTCCTTGAGGGTAACTTCATGATCAGTGAAAAGTTGATCTTGATAACCTTTTTGTTTAAAATCATTAATAATGATTATTAATCATTAATAATTTTACAAAAACTCTATCATCTGGGCAGTTCCTCTTTATGCTCATCAATTGTACCTTAGGGGCATTTAACAGCCATGGGGAAAAGTGGCAGCTATTCTCCTCAATATAGCTATTAACATCACGTTTTCCATACACATGCTCGTGTTCCACAGAGACATAAATAAGTTGGCATAACTTGGGATAAGCACTTTTTTTTTTTTTAAACACCTTATCTAGGCAAAATAGTAGGACCTGACAAAGATGGGGTACATTTACATTGTGGCAGGCTTATGCAATGTATGATCATATACTGTAACTAAACTCCCATTAGTTTTGCCTAGATTAGGTGTTTTAAATAAATAAATAAAATCTGTGAGCTTTGAAGTTACTGTTTACTGGATAAGTAAGTTTGCCTGGTCATGTGTATTGTATAAACTGGCCCCAGCAGCACCACATTTATGCATGTTCAGGTGAGTGCAGTCCCCTGGTTCTATCTCTATCTCTATCTTGTGTAGTACATCTAATTCCACTTATTGAAAAACCTCTAGAAGCCAATTCCAGGACAACAATACAAGTGAACATAAAATGTGACATATATCAAGGTGGTGCGATATCCCCAATGCTGTTCTGCATAGGCCTCAACTCGCTTAGCCAGATCACGAGGAGTGAATGTGGATTCAGGTTCAGGAATGGAGCTACCATCAGCCATTTACATACATGGACAATACCTGATGAGTGTCAAGGCCACTGAAACACAGAGCATCCACAAGTACATCACGAAGATGGCTCCTGTTAAGACACCCCGGAGACCTAGGAGTGAAACCGCCGTTTTTTTGAGCTTTCCCCTTCACAATTTTGCCATCTCCGTTCGTATAGAATTCAGCGTATGAACCACAACCAGGGGAAAGCGGTAATCTCCCGAACGGGATCCGTAAGAGTGCTCCAAACTCCCGAACAATAATCCACAAATCGTCGCTAACCGTCGAACAAATATATCCTCCAAGCGGCTTACAGTTCCAGTAATCAGTCTCTATCCATCGGTAATAAATCCCCCCAATAACGAGACCAAGCTCCGCATTGAGGGTAAAACAAGAACTGGGTTTACTGTGGGCTACCCGCCCGTATTTATGCAGGTCTCCCACTTGGTGGACACTCCCCTAGGCGGTGTTCGCATGCTTTTGTCTACTGAGAAGGGAGGTCTGTAGTTTCAGCGGTGTTAGGCAGAAAAAGTGTCAGTTTTTAGTTCCATAGAATCAATGTCGAACAACGCTGGTCTTTCGCATGGTTTTAAATGGCTGCCGCCTTGTGGTCGACATACAAACGACGACCACCCTGTATTCGGTTATAATTAAGAGGTGTCTGCGGTTAACCACAATGTTCTAATTGGGATCAAGAGGTTAACCAGCAGCACACTTCTATTCTGGGTGGCCGTCCGTTCAGTAGGTTCATTCGGCAAAAAGTCAAACATACGCATGGGGGTATAGGAAAAGGCAATTCCCACGAAAGAAAGGCAAACTAGACGAACTGAGAAATAATAGTTATACAGATGGGTCTGTCACAGCTCCCAAAGATGAACTCCTAAGTGAATGCCTGAGACAACAGACAGAGGATGCAGAAAAGGAGGTTGGTCCATGGCAAGACACACTGATCCATGGTGTGCACTACCGGCAGATAGTAGCACTAATTCTAGCAGCACAGGAACAGGCACTAGGTACCAGATCAATAGAATGTAGAGTTTACCCTTATGCAGGACCCAAGGTTCAGACTGTACAAAGTGGCCTCTGAGACAATCCAGCCCATAGTAGCCTGGTGCAAGATGTTTCTGGGATTGTGTGCCAAAATATCTGCACATGAGCTGAACCTTCCTAAGTCCAGATGGGACTAAACACAAAGGGTAGTTGAAAAGTACAGGGCTAAGATTCTGTGGAATCTTCAGATCCAGACAGACAAGCATGTAGTGTGGCCAGCACAATCGAATAGAAGAGTGCAGTGGTGGATGTACTATAACTTAAAACGGTGGACAAATACTACTTTGAGAGCTGCATGCAGCTTACCGGTCAGTCTAGGGTCACTGAATATGATTGATTGATACCTGGATGTCTCTTGTGTGAGCATGTACTTAGCCCTTCTCACACCAAAATCGCAGGATGTTCCATGCTGTTTTAACAGAGCTAAAACCTACTCTGTGGAGGAAGGCATGGAAAGTCATAAGGTCATTAAGGGGTTATACACCTGCTACAAAAAGTTAAAAAGACAAGTTAAGAACTGCAAACATCCTATGGGATAAACATGTATTTCATTTATTCCCTATATTCTATATTTTACTACATTTAACCCCTTAAGGACACATGACATGTGTGACATGTCATGATTCCCTTTTATTTCAGAAGTTTGGTCCTTAAGGGGTTAAACGCTATCTATAATATATAACCTATCTATAAGCATTGAGCCTGTTATTTTCAATAAACATCTGACAAATGCAGTTCAGTTTGCAATTCTCCAGAATTCCTAAATTCTTACTTAAGAACAATGTAATAACTTTTGCTATTAGACCTATTAGAGGAATTCTCAAGCATCAAAAAAAAGAAGAAAGAACGAAAGAAAGAGAGAATGAGAGAGAACGAGAGAAAGAAAGAAAGAATAAAGGAAAAGCAATGTAGATAAATAGGGATAAAAAGGAAAGAGAAGAAATCTGGAGTGGAATAAAACAAATAGCAGGCAATAAGGATAACACCCCCTTATTGCCTTTATATGTTCACTATTTATATTAATAAGGGGAGAGTGTAATTAATGTGTCACTAGCATCAACCAAATCAGTGGTCAGATCAAGAAAAAGGGTGGCAGACTGGCAGCCTCCTTTTTTACTCTACTTAATGCAGACCATGCAGAGAGCACTGCTGAAGCACTTACTGTGTAGTCATACTGCCCTCAGCATAGTGCAAACAAGTTTAACAATGCAAAATTATCAAAATTGTAATGGTGGGAGGGATCTCAAAATCAAGACTTTCTAGTCTAAATTGGGACTGTTGGGAGACTTGACAGTATATATATATATATAAGCATTATGAAGTGGGGACTTTACAATGATAGAACACCCTGCCTGGATGGTGGGCATTGCACCCAAAACATGAAGTAATGATAATCACAGAAATAAACTAAAACAGAAGCTCGTTCAAATTTTGACAGGAATTCTGAACATTGCCACACAGTGCAGAGAAAAAGATGCAAAAAAGTCTTTAGAGGTTAATTGTTTCATCTCCTACATAATGCATTATTTTGCAATGATTGTGCATTAAAAAGAGCACTCAGTTACAAGACAGATTTTTTTTTACCGTTTTATCATTATTTAACATTCATTCTTGACTGACTGACCTACCTACCTACCTATCCATCCATCCATCCGTCTCTGTTTGTCTGCCTGCCTGCCTATCTGATTGCCCTCTCTATAGATATGCAAGCACACGTTAGAAAACAATTTCTTGCATCCAGTTTGTTTACAATATATTTCAAGACATACTTTTTATAATGTGAAACAGTATAAATTTGAAAAGCATCAAGCGCTTTAGCAACAGACTGACAAATTATTGTCTCTCTCTGATGAGCATCTTAGGCCTTTGGCTAAATGCCACAACCATATGTAGAATGTAAGGAAAATGCTTCATAATTATCTCTGCAATATTGGTTGGGTCTTTGTGTGTTTACTACAGGTTGCCGAGGAAAGAGTAAATGACTTAACAGACTCTCAAACCATCCCCACAAGGGTTTACAATAAAATGAATTAGCCTTTTAAAATTCAGTAAAGAAAATAACAGGTTGTGTAGAAATATTAAATTGGAAAAATGTAAGCATCATATGCATTTATAAAATAAACTCTCTGTTTATGTGTTTTGTTTTTTTTCTACAATGTGTACATCCCAGTTTTTATGGTTGAGGAAAGAAAGATGTTTTAAGACTTAATGAAATGAATTGCTTTTAATATCACAGCTCTACCACTTTTTTTGTTGTGTTTCTACACTGTAAAGCTTGATTTACTACTTAGCCTAGACAGCAAAAATGCTGATAAAATAATCTACACTCAGAAATAATAATAAAAAAAAAAAAAAAATTGATATTTACTATCACCACTTGCCAGCTTCTGAACGTTATTCAACTTTGCCAGTCTTGTTAGTTTTACTAGTATACATGCAAACTTTAGACAATAAGTAGCTTCTAAATTATAGAAACAAAGTGTGGCTTTTATCAGTTATAAATAGATAAAAACTATAATAAAATACCTGAATGAGTCTGTGAAACCATGTATGTATAAACAGGCAAGTCTAAAGACTTGTGAGCCAGGATTATTTTAATATAGTTTTTTTGGTCAACAAAACTAAAAATCTTTCATGAAGACTTAAAGAGGTAAAAAAAAAAAATTATTTTTCACAAATTATTATTTTTTTTTAGATTATTCTCCCTCATTTACTAACATCCATTAGTGTGAAAATAATACGCCTGCATATGTGGGCTAGCAAAGTGCTTGTGTGACCATAGCCACTTGGGCATTGTGTGGGGTGCTTAGAGCCAGGACATCATTTGGACCTCAGTATATATTGAGGTATTATCCACTTGGCATATATTTAGGGGTTCAATCCTTTTGGGAGCTGGCTAATATCTAGATGTATATAAACACATTACATATATACATACACACGTATTATCTGTCTATGTGTGTGTGTGTGTGTATATATATCTATATATATATAGATATATATACACACAAACACACACACACATTAAATGTGTGTGTGCGCATATATATATATATATATATATATACATAGTTAATACAATGCTAAACAAAAATCTGCACACCAGTCAAGCCATAAGACTTGCTTTTCCCACAGAAATCCCAAATCAGCAGTGATGTTACAACCGCAAAGGATTCTGGGTGGGCATATGCAAATTAGTTTAACAAAGAATCACATTTTTGCCTCATTCCATTTTAAACATGGATTCCTTTTAATTTGTGTTTGCAGTATACAACTGCTTGGAACACAATTTAGGATAAGATGCAAAACCAGTGAACCACTCATGGACAGCTGTTTCGTTGTTAATGCAACTCTTCAGCATGAGGTTGGTTACTGGTTTGCTTATGGAGGCTTGGTAGTGCTTGGGAAGCAAGATCCAAATAGATTATGGTGGGGAAAAATTGTGATTGAAAACCCCTTCCACCTGAAGTATGTGGATAGTTAATACAATGCTAAACAAAAATCTGCACACCAGTCAAGCCATAAGACTTGCTTTTCCCACAGAAATCCCAAATCAGCAGTGATGTTACAACCGCAAAGGATTCTGGGTGGGCATATGCAAATTAGTTTAACAAAGAATCACATTTTTGCCTCATTCCATTTTAAACATGGATTCCTTTTAATTTGTGTTTGCAGTATACAACTGCTTGGAACACAATTTAGGATAAGATGCAAAACCAGTGAACCACTCATGGACAGCTGTTTCGTTGTTAATGCAACTCTTCAGCATGAGGTTGGTTACTGGTTTGCTTATGGAGGCTTGGTAGTGCTTGGGAAGCAAGATCCAAATAGATTATGGTGGGGAAAAATTTTATATATATATATATATGTGTGTGTGTGTATCATATATATATACACACACACACACACACATATATATATATATATATATATATATATATATATATATATATAAAAAACTTTTTTTAGATAAAAAGAAAAAAAACGCTAACTTTGACCAACATTTGTGACTAAGTGGCTACTACAAAAGACTGGATATACCCCATTTTTAATTCCACAGAACCAGCAAACCAATCTGGCAAACTGAATTGGGCAAGCCCTATATTGACCCTATAATTTTCAGAAACACAATAAAACCTGTACATGAGGGGTATTGTTATACTTGGGAGACTTTGCTGAACACAAATATGAGTGTTTAAAACATTAAAACTTATCATGACAATGAAATCACCAGTAAAAGTGCAGTTTTTGTGTAAAAAATGCAAAAAACATATAAAAAAAGCTAAATTTGGCCAGCGTTTGTGGCTAAGTGGCTACTAAAAAAGACTGGACATACCCCATTTTGAATACCATGGGTTTTCTACTTTTATAAATGGTTTGCCATGATGGGGTTAATTTTCCTTTCTGGGCTGCTATAAGGTCTCAAAGGCAACATAGGCCCAGCAAACCAATCTAGCAAATTTCAACATGCAAACATGGAAAAAGGGAAAGCCCTACATTTGACCCCTGTAAATTTGCAAAAACCCATAAAACCTGTACACTAGGGGCACTGTTGTACTCGGGAGATATTGGTGAACACATATTGGGGTGTTCTGTGTCAGTAACACACAACAGGAACTGAGAATCCATGCCTAAAGTACAATGTGTGAGAAAAATAACACATAAAATGACTACCCAAAAGTTTGACAAAGACTGGAGGTAGAATGGAAAGCAGGGGAGGGCTGGCAGCCTTAGGCGTGGGGGGCAAAACCAGTCAAGTGGCCCATTGCACCACCAAATCAGTTCACCATCCAAGGTTTTATAACGGATATTGATGTTATGCTAATCAGTAGCTCTTTGCCATACCCGCTCCTTCGTGGCTCTGACTTTCTTATGTTAGAGCGCAGGCTGAGAATCTCTGAGCCTGTGGTCTGACTCACTAACTGAGCGCCGGAACCACAAGCGAGAGGATATGATCTGACTGCACCTACTGCTGGTGCGCACCAGTGGACCACCAGCGAATCGTTTAAATTGAATATGCTGGTGTCCCCAACTTGTGAGTTTTGTTGGCCGCCGGGCGCCTCTGTTGTCATGGCATCCAGCGTGACCGCACAGCGTGCACACCCCAACGGCTGGACCTGCTGACATACACTGACATTACTACTTAGACATCCCTCAATATTAATACAGACATCAGAGTAAACACCAATAAACTGTGCAAACAGAGCTAATCCCTCCCAATTTATAAAGATTTGCTTACTGGATTTGTTGTAAGATTAAATCATGCCTCCTCCTCTTTCTCCCATGCGCTGCCCTGTAGGCTGGGAGGAAGTGAAGAGTAATCACAATCTCCTAGCACAGCGGCACCTGTGACTGCATGGGGAACAGCTGGATTTGCCGGCCCCCATGTGACATCACAATGCCTCACCTATATGAGCTGCCATACGAACTAATGCCAGTACTGCACACAGTGTGTGTTTACATTAAAAGGCTGAAGTGGTTCTGGGGACTATAGTGTCCCTATAGTGTCCCTTTAATGTGAAGTAAATTATAGATTACATAGTTACATAGTTACATAGCTGAAAAGAGACTTGCGTCCATCAAGTTCAGCCTACCTCACATTTGTTTTTTGCTGTTGATTAGTGTCACTAATAATTACTAGATTGCCTACTTACAACCAGATGAGGATGATGATGGGTTGCAGTTTGGCTCCACTGGTCTGGTGTGGAACAGGATCTCTGGAGGCTGTTTGCAACTGTGGTCACAAAATTCAATGTTCTGGGAGAATTGGAAGCAGCTCCATTTACACAGCTCAAGGTCCGTGCCCCAGGGCCGACTGTGAGTATGCCCACAAGGCCCACTCATAAGTCCACTTATATGTTCCACCCACCCATGAGTCTGCTCACAGGGAGTGGAGTGTGTAGGGGATGTGTTATGGGTTATTGTAGAGGTTCTAATATGTGTGCTTATGGTATGTAGTGTATAGGGATACCAGTTTGTGTAGGTGATGCAGTGTGTTTGTGTATAAGGGATGTATTGTGTGTTTCTGGTTGTGTGTAAGGGATGCATTGCGTGAATTTGTGTTTGTATGCAAAAGGGATGCAAGGTGTGTGTCTGTATGTTTGTGCATTGAGTGTGTGTAAGAGATGCATTGTGTTTCTGTTTGTATGTAAGAAAAGCAGTGTGTGTGTTTGCATGTGTGTGTAAGGGTTTGCATTGTGTGTTTCTGTGTATGTGTGCAAAGGATGCATTGTCTTTGTGTGTAAGGGATGCATTGTGTGTATGTGTAAAGGATGCATTGTGTGTTTCTGTGTGTGTAGGGATGCATTGCGTGTGTGTGTAGTGTGAAAGAGCTCCCTGTCTTGCCCCCTGTCCTATAGAGCTGTCCCTTAGAGCTCTCCCCTGCCCCTTAGTGGTCTCTCACACTCCCCCCCCTCCCTGTGCTCTTCTTACCCCCTCTCCTCCTTGTGCTCTTCTTCCCTCCTTCTCCTCCATGTGTCCTCCTCACCATCCCCCCTCCCTGTGTTCTTCTCAGTCCCCCTCCTTCTCCTCATCTCCCCTTCCCTTCACCCTTACTCTCTCCCCTCCTCCTTGTGTTCTTCTTACCCCTTCTTACTCCCCCCTCTCCTTCTGTTACTCCCCCTTCTTCCTTCTGTTACCCCCCTTCCGTTGCTCTCTCCCCTCCCCTTCCGTTGCTCTCTCCCCCTCCTTCCTGTTACTTTCTCCCTCCCTTTCTGTAACTTTCACCCTCCCTTTCGACCCCTCACCTCCCCTGTAGCGTGGCCGAGCTCCTCTCCCCATCCGCGGTGCCCGGCCAAAGTGATAGGAAGGTGCACACTGAGTGTGCACTTCCTGTCTGTCCGGCCGGTTACAGGAAACAGAAACTCCTGTTCCGCGCAGAGTTTCTGTTTCCTGTACCCGGCCGGACAGACAGAGGAGCTCGGCCAGCTACAGGAGAGGAGAGGATGTGCTCCAGCCGCCTGAGGCTCTTAACAGAGCACTCAGGCGGCTCTAGCATTAGGACCAGCCCTTCAGCGGCCAGTCTTAAAAGGATTTGGGGCGGCCTGGGGGGCAATTGTCTCCCTGCCCCCCGGCCCAGCCCGCCCCTGATGGAAAGTGTTAAAATAGCACCATTTGAAATACCCTAGGGTGTCTACTTTTTAAAAATATATGGTTTGATGGGGGTAAATTATATTGGCCGGCATCAAAAAAGTCCCAAATAGAACATGGTCCATGAGGACCAGCTGTGAAAATTCGAAGTTGGAAAACTGGAATCTACACCCTTGTGATAGAATTTACTTTGATTTCAAGGTTCAAGCTTATAGGTGTCATATTAGATATCCTATATTAAAATTGGCTAACTTGGACTCAGGAAATGCTTGATCCTGAGCTGTCTCTCTTCTCAGTCAGTCTCTTCTTTCTTTTTCTCTGAACTTATCTACTTATCTGTTATATGTACATGACGTTCATCCCTATGTCTTATCTGTACTCCTTTCACCCCCTTGCTACTACTGTCCTATGAGTATTTGTATGTAAGCACTTACTTTTTAAGGTATAAAAACCCAACTGAAGAATAAATGACAGAGGCTTATTTTGAATACCAACAGGTGTCTGGTGTCTTAATTCATGCTCCTCTAAGTGCATTTAAAAATAATAATAATTTGGGCTTTCTCTGAATATAACAAAGATCAATATTTGGATCTATATCACCCTCCAAATAAGGTATTTTAGCCCCCAGAGAACCCAACACACCTATACATGGGGGGTATCACTGTACTTGGGAGATGTTGCTGAACACATATTGGGGTGTTCTTTGGCAGTAATCTTTAAAAGTTCTCCGTACATGTATTCTCAAATTGCTACGTTTGTCAAAAGAATCACAAATGATTATTATTTTTTTAAATTGCCATAGATTGGTGGTAAAATGGTTGCATGAAAAGAGTCAAAATACCTACCCCAAGTTTAATACCTTATGTTGTCTTCTTTTAAAAAATATATACATATGAAGGGTTATTTAGGGATTCCTGACAGATATTAATGTTACA